CCCACCTGGCAGAAAGCACATCTGAGATGGGTACCCTCTGGTAAACATACATATATATATATATAGCTATTGAAAATGGCCATAGAAATAGTTGATTTGCCCATTAAAAATGGTGATTTTCCATAGTCATGTCAGTTTACCAGAGGGTAATTATGGTTCAAACATCCCACGAGGTGAAGGGAGGACAAATCTGATCAAATCGGCCTCCGTTGTCCGTTTTGTTAGATGGCCGCGGCGGCAGCAAATGTGGGACATAACCCATCATGGCTGGCAACAACAACAACAACGACGACGACGACAACAACGACGACGACGACGACGATGACGACGACGACGACAACAACAACAACAACAACAACGACAACAACAACATATTAATACCGGCTGTTGAATCAGTTCCAAGTCATTATATAACATTATACGTTATAATAATATATACATTGAAATTCATACTATCAAAATATGTTGGTCGTTTGTGTCGGTATTATTTTGTTTGGTTTGGTCGGTTCTTCGAAAACCAGGCGTTTCACAAAAAAACACGTGCAAACTTGATGAAAACTAGGCGATACGCGAAGAAAATAGGCGATGCATCTGGCCTTCCATTGGTTCTACCTTAAGTCCAGGTCACTCCTGCTTGTTTCCGTGGGTGCGATTTCTGACTCCTATACTGACTATTACTTTTTTATTTTATTTCGATGCCTTGCAAAAACTACTACGGAACTAGCTACTATGTGTAAACACAAGCCAAAAACCATGCTTTCTGGATTTGCGGGCGTTTGCTGGTTTTTGCGGGCGTTTTGAGGATTTTTGCGGGATGTGTGCGGGGCGGTTTGGTCGCGTTTTTTTGCTTTTTGTAGATTCTGTGCAAAAGTGCTTTTGAACAGAAAAAGTAGGCGGGCTTGCAGAGTCAGACCTGCATACCCAACTCCAATGCACTACTCTGGCAGCCTCAAAAATTGCTACTTACATGCGCGGGATACGGGAGGAAAATCTGATGAAACATTCAAAATTATCCAAGCTCCACAGTTTTTTGGCATTTCAGTTTTTAATGACGATCCCAAAAAACTAGGCGGCTTCGACCACAATTGGTAAACAGCCAAAAGGGTCAAAATATGTCAACATATATGAGGCGTTTGAAGATCCAGATTTATATATATACATATACACGTGTATATCTATATATATATATATTATAATATATATATATATACTATATGAATCATTGTTATTCATAATATATGTATCACGGACACCTCAAAAAAACGACTTCTTGTGGGATCGAATTATGTCTGAACATCATCTGCATCAACATCAGCCTACCAGTTGAATCCACGTGTCTTCAATATGGAGCTTTCCAAAGTCGGGGTCCGAAATCATCCAAGTGAACGACTGAAACCTATGGTGGGGATATCCCGTTTGAAGACACCTCCATGTGGTTTGATCCACATTCGTTTGTCCGAACATAGGCTACTCAACAAAGCGACGACCAACAACTTCCATCCCCAAAACATGCCGGGCGCGAACTGTTCCAGAGGCGCAGCTTTCTTGCCCTGTCAGTTGGTGGAAAAAACCTACAGCTGGTACTGGAAAACCTATAGAACCAAAGAAGCTAAACAGATTGGCTGTTGTTGAACATCAGTTTCTATTCCCCTGATATTGACATAAGAAATTTAGCAAGAACTCAATGATGCTTTTGAGCCAGCTAGCATACAGTTCCACTCTTTGTTGGTGAAGTTACATTTAATATTGTTCTTACTTACTATACAAGGTGGGGCCCCCCAGTTATAAGATGGTTTATAAACCCCATTAACTATAGTTATAAGTACCATAAACCATAGTCATTGGAGTTATTTAAACCAACTTAGCTATCTAGGGGGCCCCACTTTGTATCTTTGTTATTCTCTTCCCATTGTTGGTGGTGAACTTCCCCATTCTCCCTTGCGGCCTTTACTTGGACTTGCTTAAGTTCCCCCCCGGCAAAACGTCACTAATATGTTCCCAATAGGCCCCTCACGTTTGGTGAATTACCCAATGACAAAATAATCGACTCATCGACTCAGTAACTCCGGGATTTGGGTCCCCGTCACACAAAAAAAAATGGCAACACATGCAATTTATTTCGCCGTTTTTGCTTGTACCCTCTGGTTATTTAACATAGCCATGGGAAATGACCCATTTATAGATGGTTTACCTGTTAAAAATGGTTGATCTTTCCATGGCTATGTTAAATAACCAGATGGTATTTGCTTAAAGTCCTCAAGAAAAAGTGCAAGGCAATTCCCGATTCCCACATGGTGGATTTTCCCAGATGAGAAACAACAAAACATCATATAATCACATATAAAACACCTTCAGCAAACCCAGGGTTTAATATTCCCATGGTTTCTTGGCGAAGTCACATCATTTCGCCATTTCGTCATTTCGCCTGCTCGAAGGCCGCTGCAAGGTCGTCCAAGGAAACCAACATGCGCCTGTGATGACGTTGGCTCGGTTCCGTGAAGTATACCTTATCTGGTTGGTGGTTTCAACCCCTCTGAAAAATATCAGTCAATGGGAAGGATTATCCCATAAATTATGGAAAATAAAGAATGTTTGAAAACACTAATCAGTTTTAATTGCCGGTCTTAGACGGTCTTAGATACCCTTCAATTTTCAATGTAGATCTGTGCGCCTGTTGATGGCACAAGAGTCAAGCACTAAAGTGCACGTCCCAAGGTTTACCGGCTCCTAACGAAACAACTAGTTTCCCACAACAGGCATAGTTCCTATGAAGATGTGCATGCCAGTTAGCAAGTGGCTAACTAATATAACTGTGGATATTCCATGATATTCCAGGATATAAAAAAACCTGGCAGGGTATAATATGGCTCATTACCATTTATTACCCACTTATGAGCTGGGATGCAGCCCCCAAGCATTCAGCCCATTGTGATCCAGGGAGGGTATGTACAAAGGGTCAAGATTTAAGCCGCAGAAGGGACCGCACATTTTAGGACTAATGTTCAGATATGTCTAGTATTAACATGTATCTGTATTAACATGGTACGCGTATTGGCCATCTAATTATTGGGCTACCCAAGTTTGACCATCCATTTGTTCAGCCATTGATGATGGCCTCACCACAAGTCATGATCCATCATGATCCAGGCATCGAAGTGAGATGTTCAAGGCATGTTTCACCCGTGCCTCATCGATGTCTTTTAAGACGTTAATCGGCACTGATATATCAGGTTTAACACATGTAACATATACCCTCTGGTTATTTAACATAGCCATGGTATAGATGGCCCATAGAAATAGATGAATTACCTATTAATAGCATGGTGGATCTTTCCATGGCAAACTGTTAGTCATAACCAGATGGTAACATATATAAACCTGTGACTTTATCGATATATCAATGGAAAATGGATGGTGTTTTGATGTGAAACCCAGCCTTTAGTTATCTTCGTTGACTTCAGCACTTCTGAGTCAGTGGGAAAATATTAATCTCCGGCGCGAAGAATGTATAAAACCAATGAACCAATGACACCACCGTGGTGAATCTCGGATATGTCAAAAAAAATGTTGGTTAGTGCATACTGTCATGGATAGCAAAAAATAAAGTACTAAATTATACTAAAGTATCTATATAACTAAGGTTGACCCAGCCACCTGGTACCCATCACATCTATCGCCACCAAAAGTGGTTGTCTGTTTATGACTTCTGATGTCATCTGGGCAATACTGATGTCATGTGGATCCGGCAACCTCTCCAATACCCTCTGGTAAACTGACATAACTATGGAACATCACCATTTTTAGTGGGTAAATCCACTATAAATGGCCATTTTCAATAGCTATGTTAAATTACCAGAGGGTACTAGATGATGAAATTAATAGGTGTCACCCGTCACTCAGCCACCCTGATCCCAATAGTATCCATCTTTTGGACGAAGCAGATTCTGCAATCCGGTAAGCCGCGACTAATGTACATGTTTTTTCATGAATTATGTACTGTAAGAAGCTGGGCATGGGTCGCATCCTCCGTGGCTAAGGGGTGCCAAAGCACCCACAAATTTGCTTACTGTTGCAGTGATCCCAACAAGACAAAAGTCAAGTATCAAAAAATCGTAGGATATGTCATATCTTACCTGAAAATCATATCATGTCAACAAGGTTTTTCCTAATTGAATGGCTGTCTTTTCCGTGCTGAACCATTCAATGTCTACATCCGATAAGCTAAGCCAAAGGCCGCCCACCGAAGAAAGTGTGGCGTGAAGTCAAGGCTTATTGCTATGGTACGATGACCCAAATAAAGATACATAAGTACATGCAATTACTACAAGTCACTTCACCAAATATGACGTGGATGTTTCTTAGGATATGTTAGGATTGAATTTCATTCCTGTTTTGCATCCTTTTTGGGGGGTTGCGATAGGATATGTATTCGAGTTGGCTATCCCTCTGTCAATCTCTATCAACATTCACCAAGCTGATACGCTGAAGGTCATGGTGAGGTTGTTATGATTCAGCCATAGCCAGAATGATTGCATTCATGTTGATGAATATTGATAAGTCCCCTAAATCTGTTCAATATGTTACAGTAATTATATTTCATTACTATAATATTGATAGATCATGATAAATCATGATCAATACCAGAATTCTGATGATCAAACCACTGTGATTGGCTTGTTGACATCCGTGAATTTCCTTCTTCTACAGATGGTTGTCATGTTATCAGCGGAGCGAAAGCGAAAGGACCCACGGCCCGGCGAAGTAATTGGCATATGACATGGAGATGCCGATGTCAGGGTGCCCCCGTACAGACCGTGCCAGCCATGATGTGTCCTAGAGCTGTAGCTGAAGGGGTGCTAACAAACGGGGTGACCTATATTGGGACCAATTTCTGAACAAAACACGTGATTCCAAGCAACCCTACCCTTGATTGAAGTCGACGTCCTGGAAATGAGACAAACGAGCTGCGTAAAAATCACTTGAAAATACTTGAAATGTCCTGGTGCTCGAAGGGGTAGAAAAGGAGGGAAGCACGTTCCTATCTACGGAGAATGCTGGACATTTCCATTGCAGCATGCCTTCACGCTGAGGATAACACCACATCTGGGGAACCACGGTTGCAATTCCATTGCGCTGGAAAGGCAAGTTTTAAGATAACCCTGATAGTTGACGCATGGAACCACACATGGGTATGGGTCAAAATTAGGTACCTCAATAATTGGATGGTTAATACTAAACTGAACTAACATCTGTGGTCCCCTAGGTCTTCCATTTTGACCCACATCCACATATCTTGAGCATCATTTAGGACTAGGCTAGATCCGACAGACTCTAACAAAGGTCCAAGACAAAAGGTGAGGTGAGCGCACTAGCATGAGATTGACTCGAAGTGCCGATACGGTTGAGCCATGCTGAGCCGGTCTGCAGTGACCCGCTGTTGACACGAACAGCACACTCACACTGAGTGGGTCAGCCCCTAGTGGTACGGAATGTGCTCCTGAAAGAAACAGTCGGACACACGGACAGAACAACATCTAGGCCTACTAAATGAAGTATATATTCATCTGGGTGTGTTTGAAAATGGGAACACCGGTAAAATTGCCAATCATAATGAATTTATAATCAGTTTTATATAGGTCAAATAAAGGTAAAGAATGGATTTAGGGATACACTATTTTCAGATAAAGCCATATCATCCCTTATCTATTCATATGCTCGGTGCAATCCATCGCAAGACGATGGTGTTTTCATAGAAGTAGCAGCGCCAAATTGCTTGCAGAGATCACCCAACTACAGTAGGATACAGATTGACTGGAGCCAAAAAGTCCTTGGCATGCTTCAACCATCTTCAACCTTCATCATCTTCAACATTTATCAGAGATGTCTTTTGGTGGGGTCCAGGAATGTCCAGGGCGACCGGATCAAACACCCCTGAGATTCAGGGGCACTGTGGTTTCATTGGCTCGGGAGTCCCGTATGTTTTTCTGATAATCCCGAGCGATTTGGACAAAAGACGGGTCCCCTGATGGTCGTTTTCACGGCTTATCCATTGATCTTTTTTGCCATGGTCCCCATGTCTGAACCTCCAGGTCTTTCCCTATCCATGTGATCTGGTTAGTGGTTTCAACCCCTCTGAAAAATGATGGAGTTCGTCAGTTGGGATGATGACATTCCCAATATATGGACAGTCAGAAATTTCATGTTCCAAACCACCAACCAGTTCCCTATCCATGTGATGTTTCAGCATCAGTCCTCCGTGCATGTCGGACATCTAGCTGACAGTCTGTGCCTGCAGATGAATAAACCATCCCCAAGTCACCAGAAACGGGTGCTATAAATCATCCCCAGATTGTATATTGCAATTGTAGATTTATGCTTGATTCCTGCAGCTTTGTTGATGAATGTTGATTGGGTTGGCCACATGTCTGTTACTTTTTCCATCTACTTCTTGGGGAAGATCTCCTTCAAAACGTGCTGGGGATGAGGCATCCGAACGGGAACCATCAAGAATCCTATGGCACCCAACTCCTATGGAGGAAACCGGCTTCCATCCGGCCACAAAAACATGTGCGATCAGTTCTCCCCCATCAGGCTGGACATTGGCAAATTGGCAAATGCGCCAGTTTCCCCAGCATTGATTACATCCCCCATGAAGTTGGACTATACAAATGCCCCCAAAGTTACGATCGTTAAAAGGCTAGATTTACCGCTAAATCACAGAATTTCAGATTCACAATTTACCAAAATTCATCAAAATTCGTCAAAATCTCCAAATATTGGATCTTTCTTGGACCCACAGCCCTATCCCGGTATCCCATCATCCACCAGCCGCTCCTCTGCCGGCGCCAGATGTTCCACCACTAACTCCACCGCCTTTTCACTTACCACATTGGAACGCTCCGAGGTCCTTGAAGATCGCCAGCACCTGCCACTCCGAGACACTCCGAGCCCCCAAAAAATGCTTGGAGGACAGCTGGACTCAAACTGTCTTTAAGTTGTTTTTTCAAAACGTTTCAAAATGAAAATCACCTTAAACATTGTTTAAAAGTCATTGAACCACATAAAATTTCTATGTTGTCCCTTGAAACATAACCCATAGGATCCATGGTGCTGGTATATATGCTAACATAAAGGGGCTATATTGATGGGATCCATGTTACCATATATAGCAGCACCATGGATCGTATGGGTATTGATATACTGGATGTCTTAAACCACCCATTTAGATCCAGATCCAGTTGGATGATTTTCCCAGCTATACTGGATGAGTTAAAGAATCACATCAGTGAAATTTCCATTTCGGAACCAGTGGCGATGGCCCATTCGCCTCGTCAAACGCCAAGACTTCGGCGACGGCCGTGTCGATCTTTTGCGACATCTCCTTACGATGGAGACTGACTTAACGATGATTTTTTCGGGACCAGGAAATCCATCTGTTTTGTATTGGTTTAAGGGAATATCCATTGGGAATATCCATGGTTAATGGTTGTTATATATGGT